ATTTCGGGGCGTAGACGCGTGGTTAAAAAATTAATTTCGGGCCGCCCTGTATGGTCGGCTATATTCCAAAACCCACATGCAATCGCGGCCGGTTAATCGTAACAAGCGCGTCAGTTATGACGGCACAATCATTAATAAAAATTAACATCGTGTTAACCGTAAAGCATGCATAGTCAATGATACTATTCCTTTACGGTGGTTGCACAATAGCTTCCGAACTATAACGACAGAAACCGTTACCGTCTTAATGACATGGTAATGGAATGCGGCGTTTTTGGGTTTGAATTCGATTTTGGCGACGAATCTCGCTTTCTTAACGAGTTAAATCGTCACCAAAACGCCAGATTGGGAATATGGCCTTGATCCATACCATTTCAACGTGTCCGGCTTGCTGTGAGACGACGTCATGTATTTGTAAATCCAATAACCTAATTAGTCCAACAAGATTAGAGTATGTCGGGTTCCAAGTCCCAGTTTCATTGTTTCATTGGACGCGTTTGCCAGATCGATAATTATTAAATGCAGTTTCCTTATTGGCTTTTTTTTTTAAATATAACGCTTTTAACTTAATCGATATTCGTCTATTTCGTTTTATTTTATTTAATATAGTGCATTTTAAGTATTTTACAGTGGTAAAACCCATCCCAACAGATGTTTATTCTGCATTAAGTAGAGATGGACCGTAACGAATATTTCTGAAACTGGAAATTTTTATTTGAAACGTAAATGGACCGTTTTAAATTAGATAAAATAGAGATTCCCGGTTATCCCCAGAGGTCGACTCCGAATCCAAAGGGCAGTGTATGAACTTGTGACAAAGTTATAATATAATATAATATTCCAAAAAAGGTCTAGATTAAATTATATTTCGAGCAATTCATTCTACGCGTTCGATATTTAAACCGTACGTCTTCTACATAGTTCTTCGATTTGTAAACAATAACAGTTTTTTTTTAAACTATAGTCTGTATTGGCGGTAGAGAAAGATACGTCATAAGGATACAGATAAATATTTATTAGAATCTTACAATTAAACATTTTTTTGAAGGTTCTGTTTTTAACACTTCAAAAAGGTGGAGACCGTGGAATGAAGCAGATGTTCCCCTGTTAAAAGAAAACTTGGAAAACAACGCAGAATTTGAAGACGAAATGGCGACGGTAGTCGAACCTAATGACAATTTAGAATATATTTGTCTTGGGATGATAAACAAATTGCTTTGAATGTTTACAATTTTATAAGAAACTCAGAAGGGGAAGTAGGAGCGGCAAAAAAAACGAGTGACATAGAACGTAATAAATTGTTACTTTGTAATAATTTTTTTATACTTCAAGAATTGCTCGGCGAAAAAGACTGTAGGTAGATAAAATCTTAGGACGGTCCTGGAATGGTTACGGGTAAGGTAAAAAAGGTAAAATTGAGTTGTAAAAATCGATGAGACCTCTGGACTGACCAAAAACTATAGTCTGGAAGTAAAATTAGGAATGGTCGCATTATTAATGTTGCTATTTTGTTTAATAAAATAGTTTGCCTTTGTGTATAAAATAACAATTATCCTGATACACAGGTAGCAATATATTTTCAACTTAACCACAAATCAGCATTACAACTGGAAGAAACGCCATTTATTTTTTTAATTTTGCTATAATATTAAAATGTATTTTATGATATCGGTTTCTGTAAAGGCCCAAATATAAATACACGTTTTACATTCTACACAAATCACGTACCACAAAAAATGACAACAGAGTCCCTAATAATCCTTTATTGTCGCCCAAGTAACTAGAATGGACTGGTCAGCAGTTCAAAAGTAACATGTAAACCTTATGTTTAATGAAGGAATGTCCGAAGAAGTTGTTGGAAACTTCAGATGTTTTGGGATTTCTGACGGTTGATTTCTGCGATTTGCGAATGGTGTTTCCGGTTTCGACCATCAGTTTTCATGGATAAACTACGAACATTCGCATATTCGAAACCGGAAACTTTGAAATTTCCAAGCTGCAGCTTGATTTGATTGGCTCAATCAAACCAATGAAAATGCGCACCGAATCATTCGTAAACTTTTGTTTATATTGATCGTAGCTTTCGAGTCCTTTTATGAATGGATCGATGTAGCTTAAATCTTCGGAAACCATATCAATATAGTCTCAATAAAAACGGCAAGAGATTGGTTAAAAAATATATCGTTATTCCGCGGTTTATAGATCTGTATGCATTGATATGAGTGAAGCGAGCATAGTGTGTCCCAGGTCTCAATTGCCACTCTTTTAATCATTGTATGTATTAAGCATCAAAATGTTAAGTTTCGCAAATTTGCTATTTCACTTACGGCGAAAAATTAAAAATAAATTGAAATAAATTGAAAAGCAAAGTTTATGATTCTCACACAAAAAACTAAACAAATACAAATGAACAATTTAAATATTGAACAAGTTTTGCGTATTTATGAGAACATTAATTGGAATGATCCCATTAAACAAATGTCTAGCAAAATAGCTGCGATGGATCTTACGGATATTTATAATGCATTTTCATTATTTGCTATTATTTTGGCTAACCTGTGGTTACTATTGCAGAATAAAGTTTTTGATGTTTTTTTTTTGGGTTTCATCGCTGCACTCGTCCAAAAAATGTTGTCCAATTATTAAAGTTTGAGCAATGTAAATTAATGCAAAGTAATATATGCATAGAAATATTATGTTTAATGACTGTATTTATTAGTTCATGATAGAACTGATAAAGGGCTGTGTAATCTAATTTTTCAGTTCACAATTATCTATTACAGAATAACATCGGAATATTTATTGAGAATATGTAATGAGCATTGAATATAAGGTTTATAAACGGGATATAAAAATTTATTATATTATATTTATTATTATTTATATTTATTTATTGCATATTATTTTGTATTTTCAATATCAATGTTTCAACCATTGTTTAAAAAAATTCATAAACTGCTGTTGTGGTATTTTGTTTTGAAAATAAATATATTTTCAGAAACAAAATGCTATGAAAGTGGTTTTCCCGTACATGCGTGTAAATTAAAATAAAAATATTTTTCACGACATCGTTTCTCAAGATTTACAATACTACCAAAAAATAACTTTGAGATTTTATACGTTTCGAAGTATCGCTGCGGCTGTCAAAAAATCCATGTCGGCGTCTGTCAATTGGTTAGTATATGGTATCCGCCCGTCGAACTTTCTTGATTTTGCGTTTTGTTCGTTTTGCCCTCGTCTTCTGGTTGTCTCTTCAAAATAGTGGAGTGAAACGACAACGACGCACTGCGGAACTCGCTACATCTCGCCAAACTGGTCTTCGGGGTCTGGAATTTTACGTTTGGCAAGCGCGCGTACAGGGCGCTTCACGTTAAAAGTTCGTTTTTATTTATTTTAATATTTTCTTTTATCGTTATTTTTTTTTTCAAAACCCGCGGCTCGAACTCCAACGCATAAAATTCTTGGGCATTCAATTCACTTAATGTGAAAATAATCCCACTTATATTAAAAAAAAAACTCGTTTAAGGAAAACTTTAATCTCTGCAATCCCTAATAACGATAGGCAAACTCGTAGTGTTAATTATTGAATTTTTATCTGTTGTCACGCGTTGGTCGATCGGAAACATATAAAACCAAACCAAACCAAAAAATTTCTGAGAAAAGTAACAAGCTAGCTAGGAAAAAATCTCCCAATAATCCTGATAGGAAACAGTTCGCTAAATGTCACATTAATGAAATTGTTATACTGAAAATAATCCCACTTCTGAGAGTAGCTGCAATGCGTAAAAAATTAACTTGCATTAACTATATAGGAACACACTTTCGATCGAAACATTAATAGTATGAAGTGACCTTTCCTCAAGCTTAATTGAGTATTTCAGAGTAAGGAGTGGAAAAACAATTTTAAGAATAAAGGCAAAGGGTTTTCATAAATTGGGAAAGTTTTTCAAAAAATTAATGTAACAAATAAAAAAAGGAAGAATGAACACGCAAATAAATTATTTAATTAGATATCGTGTGTTCATATTTATTTCTTTTTATTAATGACGTCTATTTGACTTTAATTTCATACATTTAAAAAGAGCCAAAAACACCCAGACACTGCAATAACCAAAAGAAAATTTCATAATATTTAAAAATGTCCTTAAAATATTGAAACAGATAAAGAGTAAAGGTAAGAGAAAAATTAAGGAAAGGTAAACAAAAACTGTTAACTAAGTGTTATTTTAATTATTTTTGCGAAAAGTCGATTAATAAGCTAGTGTTACCGGTGTACCAAATGCTTTAAATAGGTCCTAGGATAATTTTTTAAACAAACTTCCATAGTAATACTGCTTACGAAACTTCTGGATTCCTCAACAACAACCGACCCAGGCGAAATCCAGAAGTACCTTTGAACCTCGTGGAGGTATAGGTATGTCGCCTTGCGAAATGCATCGTACTTGCCAGTGGAATAAGGAAAAATCCGACCGGACCTATGAGAAAAATCGGGCCCCTTACAAAGTCGTACCGTGGATCCTATTTGTCGGTCAGTTAGTCAAACAATCGCAACGCGAGTACGATCAGATAATGTAAACACGTACTATTGTTGTTTAACGCGTCTGGCACTATTGCTAACAGGTGTCGGTCGATCATCGTTCCTCTGTGAAACCGGCAATAAAAAAAATACTGTTAGGTTTTACGACTTTTTTGGTACTTTTCGTGCTACATTGTAGGCACCGGACGAATGTGGGCGTGGACCGGCAGCCGTTCCCAGACGAATACTGATCGTCCGCCGCCGCCGCCGATTTCTTTCGTCCGACGACAAATACGATTACAATTAATTACCTAAATGGTCGGTTACCTTAATAACGGTGCGAGTACGCGGTACTTAGACGCGGTACCGCATGTTCTATTACACGCATTACCATCGTTGCGGTTATTAATGATTGTTTGTTTACGGAGCGCTTTTCTTTTTCGGCCGATATTAACGGGGTGGTACTTTTTCTGCTGGTACTTACTCTTAGGCAAACACAAAAACCGTATTGTCATCAGCCCAGGACCATTTAGTAAATTCCCTGTATCGCTCGCTAATCTTGCGACATTTGGCGTCGTGAACTCGTATCGTCAAGTCGTACCCATCGTACGGCCTGTCGTATATACGGGGGACGCAAAAAAACCGCGCGCACTTCGAACGATCGTCGGTGCCGAAAAACGGTACTCGGAGGTACTGCCGCGAAGAGGTGCTAGCGGTCCGCGCGCCGTTACTAACCTGACTGCGGTACCCCCGTGCGAATACTGCAACCCGGATGGTACTGTGGTCTACAAACGGGCGACTGATGGAGGCCCGATGGTACCGACGCCCGACGAAGACGTGTCCGTCTTGTCCGGCGCGTGCGACGTTGCCGATCGACGAGGCGCTGCGGTGTTTCGGTGGTACCCGGGCCGTAGGAACGCGCGTCGGCGCGGCAACGTTGCGCGTGGCAGGTGAATCTCGGCACCGATGTCCAATAGACATACGCGGACGCGCGCGCGCAGGGGCCATCGACTCCGTAGACGTGGAAACATATGCCCCGCGAAGGGGTACCGTTTGGGAACCCGTGAAAGAAGCGCGCGCCACACCGGGGGGTAGCCGGGGGGTGCGTTTCTTCGAATCGGCCAGGCGGCGGCGGCGGCGTCAACTTGTCGAACGGCACCGGTACGACTATAGATAAATGTCACGACCGTTCAATTTGGAGAACCGACGGCCGTAAAGTACCGGCCGCTGCCCGCTTCTAGAAGCCGTCTAACACTTCCCCTTTTTAGTCGCGGGACAAAAAAAATGGCGACGCGTCGCTTTCGCGGAACCGCCGAGCGAGTAGTGCCGCCACTTATAAACTTGCGTGCTGTACATTTTTGACTTGAATAATAAAAGAATAAAAATAAACATACTATTTGGAAGACAATTTAATATGCTTTGGTAGGAGTTGAAATTTGTCAAAGAAATGAAAGGCGTTCATGAAGTAGTTATAGCGATAGTTACAAACGTGGTATAGACTAAAATTCATCGCCTATGGGACCGGAATTTTGCACATTATTCGTTTTTAACCATTTTGATAGCGTGTTTGCAAAAAGCCGCACAAATTATCGCTTTAATCGAAAGTGGACTTCGCCTTCAACTGGATATGGCACGCGCAGCAGTTCGAAGAGTATGCCAACGAAGACTGATCCTTGGCTAGGCGCCCTGGAACAGGCAGAAGGCGAATTACAACGGCTCGTGATGACAGCTCCATGAAGTTCGAAGAATGGCTATTAGTCAGTGGACAGTGAGAAGAAGTCTGAAGGAAAATAACCTGACCCCAAAATCAAGTGCAATTGGGTCAAAATTTACTCCAGCTCATCGACAAGCACGCCTGCGCTTTGTACGGGATCATCTAAATTGGCCATTGGACAAATGGAGGTCTGTTCTGTTGAGACCAGAATATGCCTCTTTGGTAGTGACCGACGAAAAAGAGTGATTTTTATAGAGGTGGTATTCTATGGAATCACGAACCGATCCTCTTTTCATCTGTAAGGGCGGCCGCGGTCAAAGTGCAGCAGATTTAACAGGTGATCGAGGATATTTTATGAGATCGCGTGGACTACATTGGAGAAAAATTCATTTGTATGCATGACAATGTTAGATCGCACACGGCAAGTCGTCGCATGTAGTCCCGACCTCAGACCGATCGAACATTTATGGGATGAGCGAGCTAGACTGCTTATCCCAACCTCGATCCTAGAGATTATTGTTGCAGTAGAAGAAGAGTGGCGGCTTAACATTCCACAAGAAACAATAGCCAATTTGATTTGATATATCTCTAATCGAGTAAGAGATGTTATTAGGGCACTAGGGGGTCATACTCATTAAAAAAATAAGTGATTTTGACTCATGACGTTATTGTACTCGTATTAAAGCATATTAAATTGTCTTTTAAACAGCATGTTTTTTAAATTTTCAAAAAAAAAATGAATTGAAGTAAAAGACGAAGAAGTCAAAAGTTCACAATGGATCGATTTCTATGCACGCAAGTTTAGTTCACTGATAAAAGAAACTATAGATGTTTTTCCTAAATAGGTATACATTATTCTTGGGGGTTTATACTGAGCAAACAGCTTCTTTTTTTTTTTTTTTTGGTCAGTACATTGAAAAAAATAGAAATTGAATTCAAAAGTTCACAAAGGGCCGATTTCTATGCACGCAATTTTGTATAGGCCGCTTCGGGTCGAGCTTGTAGCAGAACTGAACTTTTTATGAAATTGTTTCAGAACGCGCGGCGTTGCCGGGTCTATACTCGGAACCTCTGGCAACGTTGGAATTTAACAAATTTTAAGTTTGTTTGCTAATATTACTTTTTCCAAAGCAAGCAAAATTATATTAAATTTCAACTCGAAGTCCAAACTGTGACCAAAATAGTGGGGAGGAGAAAGAGAAATACTCGAAAAAGATGTGAATAAGAAGAGGACGAGTGCCTAAAAGGAGAGCTAGACTGGTTGAGATGTAGATGGGAGAAGAAATCTTATCTGTACTTGTGACCTTCTTAATTGGTCTTATGGGCCATGATGCCTGGAACTTCTCATTGTCGCTCGAGTGGTGGGAATGCCTAATCGCCTATATTTCTTACCCATTAGTTGAAATTTATGGCTGTTTCCATTATTTCGCTGGAAAGTGTTTTTACCCTTATAAGGGATAAAGTAGTTGTCATAATTATTGATTTCATCCCAATTTTGTAACTTTCGTATTCTCTCTCTCTCTCTCTCTCTCTCTCTTCTTTTTTATATCTATATCAACTCTATATTCATCCCGACGAATACTGTGTTTAATTGAAGTAAGAGTTTCCTACATATCTGATCTGTCATTGATCTACCATCTATTATGGCGTTGCAATTTTTTTCTCCAAACGGACGACGTAAATGCGGCGACGTTTAGTTTAACAAAGTGCAGGGTGACGTGCAGAAGTACAGTCTACCACGTCGAGTCGGTAATCCGTGACGTGCGTATATACCTACATCTGGTAGAACACACGTGTGTGTCGACTGACACCGGCGTGTACAGTTATGCGGAGACCACCGCCAAGCAAAACCAATGCCCAATTCATTGATAGTACCACGGGGCCGTAATGGGTGTGTGGGAAACATAATAATTGTGGTGCTTAGCGGGTACGTGGCTGGGCCGGTACCTGTCAGAAGTTGCGACGTCGGTATGCGAGTTTGTGCGTGAGAGAGGGACAGAGAAGGGGGGGGGGGGGGTCTCGGCCGGTCGTCTTGTTAAAATCGAACTTTTTCCGGAATACGATGAATTATTCTGGAATGCGAGAGACAATATAAGATTTCGCCACTCCGGGCACGCAGACTTTCGATGAACAGTTATACAAAGATATACGCGGAGACGGGCGGATGCACTGTGATTTTTTGGAGACGTCCGGCGGGCCAGTGGCGCGCGGCGATTGTAGGGGAGATCGGTGACGGTTGTAAAAAAAATCACAATTTAATTTTTTTAATGCAATATTTACGTTTAATCTCAACTATTCGTATTCCACTGAATTCGATACACATTCGTGAGTAGCACAATGTTTTTTTAGGTTTTGAAAACCAAAAAGATATTTTATAAAATTAACATCAAAGACGCCAGTGGCAAGTGTTACAACCGACACCCAAAAGGTGTCAGTTGTGACATAGCTAGGTGCCGGTGGTGACATAAAAACATTTTAAAAAAGCAATGAAAATAAAGATAATTAGATTAAATAAGCTTTAATGATAAAAAAAATTAAAGATACATACAGTACAGTTAGACTGACAAATAAATAAACAAGAACATATAACCAAAACAATATTATTTTAATAGATAGTAGAAAAAACATATCTAAAGAAGAAATAAAAAACATAAACCCAACAAAATTAAACTTAACAAAACATGTTCTTAAAAAATACTAGACGCAGAGTGTCTTCCTCTTCTGATGAAGACGATGTGTCTTTGTTCGCAACTTTTTGTTTCTTCTTACCTTTGTTTTCGTCCCCATCACATTTCTTTTAATACCTTTTAATTAGTCCGATCTTCGATTAGCATCTTTTCAGGAGTATCAGTTAGAATGAAGTTTCCTTTCCTTTCCTTCCTTTCCTTTGTCTTCCAGCGCCTTTTGCCTTTGAAAAGTCCGCCTTGGGCAATGGCCTTATGTCTTCAGGTGTAACAATGCGATTGTGACGTTTTAGCACCTTCTCTTAATTTGGAGGTTAATGGAACTGGAGAAAATCGGCAACTACCTTGAGAATCCAAAGTTGAACATTTCTGTTTCGAAGCTGAAGAATCTATCGTAGTAAGTGAACAACTGACTGGTGCAAGAGAATGTAATATTGATGGTTGTTGTATGAATGAAATTGAAAGTTCCGAAGAAGAGGAGGCAAAGTTTAATACTGGGCGTTGACGTTCAGTTGAACTAGAAGAGTCTAATGCTGCGGATAGTTATTTAGACGGGGTCAAAGGCTTTTGGGAAGATGAAAAGCGAACAGAAGTAGTATATGATATGATCTTCTATAAAAGGGCCAAATTCCGATCCAGAGATAATTGGTAGGAGTGATTGTCTAAAATTAACAACACTTTCAGATTTCAGAGGACTTGGCATAATATTTAAAATGTTTAATAAACTCCATGGATTCCTTCTCCTTCATCCATCCACTCTTATTCTCTGATCCGTGGTATCCATTGGGTCCATCTCTAATAAAATGGTGTTGGTATCTATTTCCTATTGCATTTACAGCTAGACACATAGTTACTTCTTTTATACCTTTTGTGGCTAGAACCTTAGCAGACTTGTGCACTGTGGTGCAACCGGTTTCATCCAAGATTTTGTGGGTCAAAATGATACCGATCAAATACATTGGCCAACGCGTATTTTGTCTGTTACAACCCTTTCTTGTAGCGAACGAACTTTCATCAGACAAACGTCAAAATTCAAAGCGTGGGACATATCTCCGGAAACATCCGATTGCTCCCAAACCCGTGCGGTAAAATCCCGGAAATGGCCGAAGTGGCTCGGATTCGTGAGAAACGAAACTGACGTGGTAAAGCGACGCTTCCCGCACGCTAAATCGGTGCGTAATTAGGTATTTTACAGACGGGAGTAGAAAAATACATTAACTGACATAACCGTCAGAATCGATAAACGTCAAAATTCAAACCGTGCGGTAAAATCTCCGAAAACATACGGTTGCTGTCAAACCCGTGCGGTAAAATCTCGGAAATGTCCGAAGTTGCTCGCATCCGTGGGAAACGTCAATGACGTGGTAAAGCGACGCTTCCCGCAAGCTAGATCGGAGCGTAATTAGATATTTTACAGACGGGAGTAGAAAATAGTATATTATGCAACAAGTGCGGTAAACGGCATTTGACTCACGAGTTTATTTGACACGAGCGGAGCTTAAGCGTTGTCGCCCTGTGCCTTGCAAATCGGACATTTAATAAAAACCTCCAGGAATGAAGTTATATCGTTAAGTGTGTGTACTCCTTAGTGGCAATGTGATTTCTATGGTTTCTATACTTTATGCTATTAATTACTTCGAGATTTTAAATTTTAACCCCTCCCAGCCATCTTCGACTCGGCCAGCGACGCGTTCAAGTTATCATTTTTTTCCCGCGACACAGTTAACGCGATTTTTTCACCGCAAATCCTCCGCCATTGTTTCGATTTGGCTCGCGACCCACATTTTTTCAGTGAAAAAAAAAACGCGGATAATTACCGACGCATCGGTCGGTAATTATTATGCCCCGGTATACAATTAACTGGTCTGAATGTTTTCTAGACAAATGGGCCTCCCGACGTATTTTCTCGCTCGCCGTGAACGTCTCCCTCCCCTCTGTCTCTCTCTATCTATCTATGTATCTCTTTCTCGTTACGCCGATCATAATAATTTAATGATTAATTAATTAATAAATCGCACACGCCTCGGAAAGTCTCGCGAAAATTGTGGGAGGCCGCGGACCGGAAAATTACCGGAAAAACGAAAGCGACCCGTTTTTCGCGTTTCCGCGTTTCTCTTTTTTTTTCCTAGACCGGCGATTTTTATTTTCTGGTCGTTTTTCTCTTCACGTAATAATAAAAAAATAATTACTTATAATTACTTTATGAAAATCCATTTAACAAAATAAATAAGAATTTTCACGAAATTGTATGTTTTCCCATGACAATTGTTTCCACAACACCGTGTCTTTATCAAATGTAATTTTTACGAACTACCTGGTACTATATATACCGAAAAAATGACAATAAAACCTTAACTAATGTTGTTATGAGAATTTAAGTTTAATAATGGAGAGGTATTTAAATCTGATTGCCCGTTAAGCGATATATTCGAATGTCTCATTTTATTAATCTCCGGGCTTCCAAAAAAATTTAATGTTCTACTTTTTGTGGCTGTATATTAAAATTGTGGTTAAGTTTGTAGACTATTTTTTTTAAACGCTCTTTTATGTTCGTAAATGCGTTTCTTCTGTTTGTCAAATATAAATTTTAGGACAAGATCTGCATTTCCAACTGTAGGCACCTGATTTTTGAGATTTTGGACATTTCGTTTTATTGTTTTTCAAAAATTTTCCTATTGTGTTGTTAGTTCCGAAAGCTATTTTTAAACCACATTTTGACAAATGTTTTGAAACTTTTTCACTTGGTCCTCCTATGTATGTATTTGTTTTAAATTGTTCGTGTACTGTATTAGGTTTCGGTTGAATAGAGTTTACTGTTGTCTGGATTTGTTTTTTGTTTATAATTTTATCGATAATGGACGGATTGTAGCCGTTGTTCAGTGCTATTTGTTTAATAATATTAAGTTCTTTGTTGTAATTTTCTGTTGAGAGTGGCGTATTAAGAAGTCTGTATATAAACGAGTGAAATGCAACCATTTTGTGTTTATAAGGGTGGTTTGAGCTGTTATGTATGACTGTGTCCGTGTGTGAAGGTTTAAGATAAATGTAAAAGTCTAATTTGTTTTGCGTTTTCGTAATAGTTAAGTCTAAAAAATTAATAGATTTATCCTGTTCAATCTCGATAGTGAATTTTATACGATTATGTAATGAGTTAATGTAATTTAAAAAAGAATTCAATTGTCTGTCCGTTCCACTAAAGCAAGCAAAGACATCATCCACGTATTTATACCACCATAGAAAACGAAAATAATAAAAATAAAAAATAAAAATCTCGGCTTACAAAGAACTAAGTGGGTTTCCCATAATCAAACCTTCCTTAGAGATGAAAATCTGCCCATTAAATTTAAAATAATTTTTTATTGCAAATTTTAAAATATTTACTAATTTTGTTGAGAGTTTAACTGCTGGAGCTCTTACACGACTGGTCTAATCTTGTTTATGTAAATTAACTAAAGAATATAATTTCGGCTGTTGTAAATTCATAATTGTTAAAAAATACTTGTCTGTGTCACTAAATAGTGTGGAGTTAGTAATTACTTCTTTGACTTGTCTTTGATATAATTCGGTAGCATCGTGTTTGATACATTGGAAAAGTTCTGGTTTAAGAAAATCGTTGGTTTTTGAAATATATTCTGGGAGATCGATAGATATGACTTTACTAGTGACACTTGAGAAATTTTTTGGTGTTTGTTGTTATCCATTAATTGAGAATTTATTATATTCGCCAATACAAGTTTGTTTAAATTAGAATCGTTAATGTCCTTAATTGCTAATTCACAGTCGATCCCTAAACAGTCTAAATCTCTATTAATATTTGAGTGCCGTAAGTTAAAGTTGAAACCTTCTTGAAAATGTTGTGTCTGTTAAGTTTATAAACCTGTTGTAAAATTGGTGGTCGGTGTACTCTGTAATTGCTGTCAGATATTTTTGTATTAGAAATTAATTTGTCTAACTATAGTTTTTTATGAATGATCGATAAAATGTCTGTTCGAACTCTATAATCATACATAAATGTTGTTTGTATCCCGTTTTCTGTACTCGCGTCTTCGTTCTTAATTCATCCATTTCGTCTGGCCTTGGATCTGGGCGCGTTGCAGCGGACTTCTGTTGTGGTTTAAAAACCTTACATATTTCGGTCATTGCTGCCGAAAAATATGACGATTTTGAAATTAGTTTCTTCTTTTTGGAAGATGGAGAATTATAGCTAATGAATAAAGACGAGCCTTATTTTTAATTTTCATAATAAAAGTATAATATTTTCAATTTGACTCAGCCTGTATAAACGACTAGAACTAACTTCGAGACAAGTATACTAAAATAAAGACAAGTATAATGAAATTACGGCTATCAAAAATATAAGGTATTAAGGAGAGGACATTTTTGACGAAATAGAGGCCATAAATCCGAAAACACTCAGTAGACCATAACAACGCTTCAATGGGATTGAGCAGAAAAGCTTGACTGCGCACATATTTATGGATAACCCTGTATTTTTACAAATAGCAAACGAGATCCACACCATATTATGGTTTTAAATAGAAGAATTTTATATGGTGACATTCGGAGGTTATTTTTGAGATGTTACTTTGACAAGCATCTGCTACTGGGTAACGTCGCATCGCTGAAAATACGACAATTTTCAGAACGGATTTCTAGGTTTCGTTCACCATTCGGTGTCAGTCATCCGGTATACTCGATGAAACGAAAAAAGAAACGTGCCCTTATAGTTATTTTGTGGGGGGTAACATCCCTTCTGGAATGTAAGTAACGCTACTCGTAAGCGAAAGAGGAGACGATATATAACATGTAGCAACAATGTTCGGGCGGAACAAAAAGCAACTTATTCGTCTACCCGTCCTCGCGCGGTCTGCGCAAAAAAAGTCGCCATTCAGAGTTGCCCAGAGGCAAGACGTCCGAACGACCGTTTGAAAAAGGCAGTAGTAAGTAACGACGTATGCCTGCGTGCACACACAAATTGCTGATAATCGCTTCACAGTAAGCCAGATACGGATTAGGCAGCGCTAATTTATGTTTCGCGATACCCGGACCCCATTTTATGCCAGAAAATACCTACCTTATTAACATATGTGTTTGAATTTTTCGCGAGCAGCGTGAAGTTCATTAAATTACCACGCGACCCTACCACAAGGCAATTTACACTCGCAATAGCGTTAATGATCAATTTTTTCTGTGCGTACTCCGTTCGTCGGTCCGGCGCATCCGCCTTTATTGTGCATATTGTAAAACTAAGTTTTTTAATTTAAATGATAAGTTTCTGCTTCGTAAAGTCTCTATAGCACTTTTTTAGCAATAAAAACGTGAATTTTAATGAACAGTTCTCCGTTTCTCACACTGCCCTATGCAAATATTAAGTATTCTGTGATATTTCCGTACAATTACGTTTATGCTTACCACGCTCGTTCTGTGGTGAGTCCTGTTTGTGTTGTCGACCAAGGTGGCTACGTTTTTTTTAATTTTCTCCGACAATAATCATTAAATAAGAGAAACGCATCGGTCACTCGAATATAACGTTCCGAGAATTCAAATTAGACGACCGCGGTCCTACTCAGGTAATTTTCTCGAAATATTTGGCTGAATAATTTATTCCTGCGTTAGCAAAATGGCGTCCATCCAAGCCCGGTTTTGCCTTATTGCAGGCTCTTGACGATGTCACGCTACCGCGAATGGGACCTTTCTTGCAAGGTGTACGTCGGCAATTTGGGCTCGTCGGCCAGCAAACACGAAATCGAGAGCGCGTTCAGCAAATTCGGGCCTCTGAGAAATGTATGGGTGGCGAGAAATCCACCGGGCTTCGCGTTTGTGGAATTCGAAGATCCCCGGGACGCGGAGGACGCGGTTAGAGGCTTGGACGGCACGTAAGCGTTTTCCGTATTGACCTTATGTTCCGTCAATAGTATTTCATGGTTCTTGTAGTCGTTGCTGTGGAGTGAGGGTGAGAGTAGAGATGTCCAGCGGAAGGTCGCGAAGAGGTGGAGGCAGACGGGGACCGTCGCGATATTCGAGAGACAGGTGATTGTTTTATATTTCTTTATAGTGTTATTATGTCTTTAGATAGAATTAGACAGCTATGCAGGGAGTTCCACGTGTGTCAACATTTATTGTGTGCTTGTGTATCAGTTACGTGGAAGACCCTGTATTTTGTTTGTTTCAGTTGATTTCCGCACTCAGGGCGTTTGGTGAATCTACTTATTATTTTATTTTCGGGTTTTCCGGACGCCCCGGGTGTGAGCGAAAATTGTTGACGTCGTAAACACAGTGGTTTGATGCGCGTTGCAGGGTCACCCGGTCGTTGCTCTACTACTACCTTCACCCCCCTTGAGTCAACACATCTCCCAACCCCCCAAAGGCCTTCTCAACAACACATCTTGTTCATCAAAATCAACCACCAACAAAAACACCACCCGGGTCGCACCAAAAAAAATCCGTCAGCCCTTAGCGGTACCGACCCCCGGCCAAACAGGCAATTTAACAACAACGGCCGCTAAAAATTACCAAGCGGGCCGAGTCATCAGCTTTACAAATTCAATGCAATTCTACCACCACCACCACCACTACTACGGCCCGGCTTCTAGTCCAACCTCATCTCCGCAACGACGGAGGAAGCCGTCCGGTGGGATATTTTCAAGTTTTTTTTGGGGCCTTAATCGAAAAGGGTACTTGTTAATTTAATTGAAGAAGTGTTTTACTCGGGATTGCCTAACGGGTCTTTTACAATTAATATTGTTTGCTTCCTGATATTGTAGGTCGAGGTCTCCGAGACGGTCGAGGTCTAGGTCCCGTTCGAGGAGCCGTGGCAGGGACTCTCGTGATAGGAGCGATTCACGAGACAGACGTTAAATGATAACCTTGATTGCTTAAACAAACGTATTATTAAGTTTAATCATCATTTGTGGCGCGACAGCGCCCTCGGATTTTGTGATCAATAATATTATACAATTTTTTTTTTTGGCACATATTTTTAAGGTTATACCTATTTTGTCCAAAATAATTGAGTCGGATTGTCCTATCGAGATGACCGGTTTTACTTTATACGCGAGGCGGTGTTCGCCAAGAGACTAACGCATATTTCTGTAGGTTTCATCTTGTTTTGTATTTTATTTTAAGAGCAGAACAATAAAATGGCGGAAAAATTACTTGTTTTCATTCCCAATGGCAGACGCGCCATTTCTTATCGGCGGTACTGGCCAATCGGCATCGCGATGTTTAAAATAAAAATAAGATAAACAATTACAATTTTAATTTTTGAAAATTTCATTTTATACAAAGCAAAACCGTTCCATAGTCAGCGTATTAAGAAAAAAAAATCGTTGGCGCGCCATCTACTACAAAAATTTCCAAGCACACTTGAGCGATTCTTCCGCCGTCAATCGCTCATTTTACCAGAACCGAATCCATCAACGATTTCGAAAAGAATCGAATGAATCATTTCAAAGGTTCATGTCAATCCTTTTTGTTGCCAACTGCAAGCTATAAACCATAAGCGTCAATAGCCACTGAATCCGAACAATACGAACGACCGATTCAGATTCATTTGAATTTTTGTTGTGTTTTTTGTTTTACTTAGTATATTTAGCTGTGTTCCCTTTTTATTGCATCATGATTTTATCAAAATAGGTGCTATATACTGGGTTGTACGAGTAATACATTAATTTGTTCAAATTAAATATTTGCGTGGAAATAGATGCATTCCATATTCAATTCAAGAAATAAGCAACTCTAGGGATCAATGTGTAACTCAATACAATAGAATAATTATAACAATACTCTCAAACCTTTTCCATGGTCTGTCTATGTTGTGCATTTAAATCTTAAATCATTCAAATGAACCATGATTCACCACGTGATTTCAGACCGGTCAAGGAGACAAAGTGATCGAATTGTTATGAACGGGCGGGATTTGGTGATTGGATCCAAGTGACCGAATCAATCACAATTGACACAACTCGAAACCAAACACAATTTTATTTCCTGGGTCTTTTAGAAACTGTCCCGTACATCTCGAGCAGACCGTCTCGTTTCCTTCTCTTGCGGTCGAAACTTTTGCCTTTCGCGGTCGACTTGCCCGCCTCGTTTTTGCCCAACTGTTGCAGCTTCTGTTGGGCCTCCAATTTTTTCTTCTCCATTTTTTTCTCTAGCATCAACTCTTTGTAGTTTTTGCTCTTATTTTTGGGCGGTTTAGCGCCTACAACAGCCAGCGTTGTTTCAAAGGGTTAAATTGAGAAGAAATCACTTACCCAATTTGATCAGTTGCTGTATTTTCGCTTCCTCTCGTTTGGAAGAGTCGAAACCAGACATGCCCAGTTTAACGACTTCGTGCTTTAATCGTTTCACGGTTGGTTCGTTTTCTTTTAACGGGGTGTCATCGGTGTCAGCGTTTTCCGTATCTTTGTGGTATTTCTTTGGACGGGAAGACGCGAACGTGACTTCTTCGTAATCGAACGCCCGCTTTGTGAGCATGGACGCCTTCGTAGGTACCAAATGCGACATGATTCGATGTTATTTAATAAATTACCATAAATATATCGGTACTTTTCGTAATACCAAACATTACTCCCGTTTTAAGGTTAACCTTAGTTTTCTTTTTACTGGCGCATATGTGCATGGTCAACTCGACCAAACTAACTAAAACTACCCTTATCTGATTTATTAATAAAACTTTCGCTCATGAACGACGTTTGATTTTGATATTTTTGTTTCAGCCTGGAGCTTCTCGTGGAGACTATGTAGTAAGTTTTCTATTATTAATGTGGAGTTGGGTTTATTTAAAATGCATGTCGAATAAAAACTCGCGCGTACCGTCTATTGGTCCTTGCCATAACTAAGTCTTAATTAAAAGTCTGAGAAAATATGATCGTAAACACAAGTAGCAAAAAAAAACAAGATTAATTTCGAAAAGTCGTGGCCGTGCGAATCGTGTGCTCCGTACTATGCCCCATGCAGTTGCAGCTTTGTATTTTGAAGGCGTGTTGTCCTAGAGGGACCCATTGTTTTTTTTTTTCTTGCTCCTGCGGACTACTATGGAAGTTTCGCAACATCTACATAATTTTGTTGTGTATGCACTCTGTATAAAGTGTAGCCGAACTTCAAAGTCACGGCAAACTTGATAAACGTACAAATTTGTACAAATAATAGCAACAAATAATATGATAGACGAAACCTGAAACTCTCTTTCGACTCAAATTACGATACTATTTAAACCAAATCATCCCATGTTTTATGGTTTTTCAGTTACGGCTAATAATTAACTCACGAAAACGACAATTTTCAGGATCTTCATGTTTTTTACCGATGATCGTACATAATCGAAAAAATGCCCGAAATAAAAGTTATAGCCCTGGATCTCCGTCATTTCTTGGCATATGATTTTTTAAAATAGAGTATTAGTTGACTTTCGATAAAATAATTGTTTTCTGAAACCATGCAGTACTCCCTAATAGTAAATGACTTGATCACGTGTAGGCTGAGTGCGAAATATAGCGATTTTCATATGGAGTTTTTCAAATATCTCGAGGAGCGCGTGTGATTGACGAAAACTGTAAATTCAAAAATTGTAGGCTTCGATGCGGCCTTTATTAGTGTCCAGACCAAATAGCGCGAAATCACGAATTTTGATTTACAGCTAATAATTTTCTCCCTAAATGAACAATTGTCAGAATTTTTGAGATTTTTGTCTATAATTGAAAAACCCTGTGTATAATCGAAAAAATGTTTAAAATAAAAGTTATAGATCTGGATCTCTCGCATTTCCAGGTTGACAAATAGTGCCTATCGGGTTAATACTTTTCGAGAACATCATTTCTTTCTGGAATTCAAAATAACGAAAAATTTTCAAAAATGCTTTGAGACTATACAATTTATATGTGGGTATGCACTTCGACTTTCCTGCCAAATTTGAAGTTGATAGCTGCAAATCTGAGACACCTATGACTTTTTTGAATATTGTACAAAATATCCCGAACATCTTTTGCAATATGTAAAAACCTTAGTGTTAGCTATCTTTACGGTCTATATTGCCATGTAAAATAATCTGACAACTAAAACATAGTATTTTAGTTATAGTGAATTTGCCATAAAAGAATAACATATAGCCTAATATTTTACGATTTTTACCATCTCGGAAGCAATTTGCGAGATATAACTTTCTTCTTAGACCCATGCAAACGTGGTTTTTCATTTTTTAAAAATACTTCAGACCCCCCAATAAGTTCCGTTAGGGGACTAAACGCTATTTGCTTGCCAAATTTGAAGTCGATAGCATCAAATTTCGGACATTTATCGGGTTTCATAGTAATGTTCGAAAAACAGTCGAAAAATGAAAAAAAAAAAGAAACGAACAAACAAACAAACGAATGAAAACGTTCTTTTTCGACACTGATTTCATCTGTACTAATGGCGACACTGTACGACGCACCGTTTCCGAGATATGAGTTTCGTTGCCAAGCGCGTATACTTTCGAAAAATTGGCATTTATCGATATTTGGAAAATAACAAGGAAAACAAATTAGTTCAGTTAAGGATACAGGACAAAACAATACGACGTTGCGATGTATTTTTAATTTTTATGCTCTGTGAATGTTGTCGGTAATACAGATCCCGATAATGTGTCTGAGGTCTGCGTGCATCGTCGTTCGATGCATCAGAAAATAAAGTCCGACCATTAATTCAAATTGTGGAAACAAGATCGCAGAATACTAGGATTACTTCCCAAAAACAATGTAGGATCTCTTGAAATCGAAGTAGGTTCGTTGGGCAAAAAATTCTCAAGGATCGTGTGCACGGGGCATGCTTAACGCCGTTTAATAATTAAATCACAGACAATAATCTACATGGTAAAAAAATCGTCTTCTTCTTCTTCTCCTTCTTCTCCGTACAATGGCAGTGTTTTCACGTTACATCTACTTACACCGTTAAGGCCCTCGCTTGGCCCTACTTTTTCATTTTATGGAAATTGCCTGAAATTCTTCCTTTTTTCTCAAAACGGGCAATAAAAGAAAAGGCGAAACACCCCGATTATATTTCGCTCTCGGCGGCTACCGGAACAGACGCCTGTACTTGTCGAATAGCGCCTGCAGCGTGGCGAGCGAGCCCAGCGTGTTGCCCTTCGTGCCCAGGCACATCGTCCTCTGCTCGGCGTCCAATTCGGCGCCGCACCGCACCTCATGGTACACGTGCACCAGGCCCGGATCCGCTGACCGCGCGATTTTCAATCCGGACGCCACCGCCTTGTCGAAGAACGCGACGTCCTCGTAACCCCATCCCTTGATGTGCAAATCGAACCCGCCCAATTTGTCGTAATCGCCCTTGTAAAGGGCGGCGATGCCGAAGCCAAACTGGCGCCAGAATCCGCGGCGCCCGTCCACCACCTGGTGGACGTCGCCGCCGATGAGTTTCGGGTTGTACAGGCTGTAGACGATCGGGAAATAGACGCTGAGGCCGCGGACGGCGTTGCGGCGCATCTTGTCCAGCGATTTTCGATCGAACGCCATGTCGACGTCGACGAAAAGCATAAGGTCGTCGTCGCGGAGTCGATCGACCGCCTTTTGGAGGGCGGCACCGCGGGCGAAAGGCTCCGCGCCGCCTTCTACGAGGGCGAGGGCGTCGTCGTCGAGTCCGTGCTCGCTCCTCGTCCGCCGGATCGACTCGACGGTGGCGTCGTAGTCGTCGCCGGCGTAGACGATGACGTGGAGGCGCGTCGGTTCGCCCTCCGCGACGCAGACGCCGACGTACCTGTCGAGGAAGCGGACGAACGTGTCGTGACGGCCGCTGAGGGGGAGGAGCAGATTTATGACGGGCGCGGCGGGACGGGCGGGACGCCGGGACAGCGGCGCCAAGTTGTCGCTTAATTTCGAGATGATCTGGTGGACGATGCCGTCGTCTTTCGATGCCGACGTCTCGGTGCCCGCCGGCGTCGCTTCCCTCACGAAAATACCTGGCGCGAAGTTATAACCACGTTAATTTAGGTAGTCGACTTTTGAAGGACGCTTCAAGGTCGAATTGTTTACCTAACTTTCTCAGATGAGAACACAGCGCAAGAATTTAAGTGATTTCGTGTTTAGAATATTTTCATTTGAACAATATTCTCAAAAAACTAAAACGAAAAGTGAAAGGTTTTTTTGATGTTTGTAATGATTTTTTCTACTCCCTTCTGTAAAATACCTAATTAAACGCCGATCTGTGGGGCTGTTTTCACTGAATAGTTCAAATGGCAAGGGTAAGTACCTGTAGTATTCTATTTATCTTACAGGTAACTTTGAAAATTATCATTTTTGTCCGATCGATTAACAACATTCTTCTTCTTGTATTTTTGTGTCTTCTACATACTTTTCGATTTGTAAACAACAACAGTCTTTTTTACAATCAGATTCGCGGTAGATAAAGGTACGTCATAAGAATACAGATAAAGATTTATTAGAGTCTGACATTGAAACATTTTTTGAAGGTTCCTGTTTTTAACACTGGCCAAAGTTTCGAAGTCAACTGTAAGAAAAATTGTTGCCAATGGGATAGTCAAGAGGAAAGTGAGAGAAGATGCTGGTACTTCGCGAATTTTTTAAAGAACAGTAGATCTAATTAGGCGTATAATCTACGACGCTTATAAAGTGAAGTGTTTTAACCTTAGAAGACGTGAATAAAAAAGTACTGACAGGCAAAGGGTCGTTGCGTACTTTTTGAAGAAAATGGATTTTCAGTTCCAAACAATTAATAGACGTCAAGTGCTAATAGAATCTCAAAGAATTTCGCAATGGAAAGTGGATTATTATTTAATAGTATATTTCGGTGAAATGTAATTCGACACGACATAGTAAAACAAGGATGGTGGGTGGGAAATCTTGATATTACCCGCATATCATTGTATATTTAACCCGATTGAGATTATTTGGTCCGAGTTAAAAGCACATATAAGAAGCTGTTGCCAAGAGACTTTGCTTGCGTTCGTACATTATTGCAAAACCATCAATAAGAGACAGGTTTTGATGGAATCCAAGAAATTCTTTCTAAAACCTGGTTTGATAGCCACGATACCACGAGTCGAGTGACGATAGTGATTGATGTAGAATAACTTTTTTGTATAAATATTCAAACATTGTTATATAACTAAATTTACTCCTCCACTTATAATATAATATTATATTAAACATTATAATATAATAAACAATTTAAAATAATAATGGATTTTTCACTGCATGGACTAATAATAATCGAGGAATGTATTTATCAAGAGAACCCCAATTGAGGTAGGCCTGCGGTTAGACTTAAAAAAAAAACGGTATATCGTTTGGAGAACTCTACCGGTAAAGGTTTGCTGCACGTAAGCGTGTCGCCTGACTTGGACGGTCATTTTGTGGCCGCGGTACTTTTTGTAGACGAGCAGGAGGTCGAGGATTAGATCGGCGCCGTGGACGGGATCGAGCCTCCAGTAGCCGTAGAGGATCTCCTTGAAGTCGATCACCCGACCCCTCTGTTTCGAGTAAGAGTTGATCTGTTCCATTATCTGCGACGACAGAAAAAAAAAAGTTATAAACGAAAGGCGCTGCTTCGCGGGGTAAGGGGAGGTCGTTGACTAGAACACGAAATTCCATTAGAAATTGTTCCGCTAGAACGAGCCGAGCTTTTTATGGCAGCGTCGAATTCTGTCACGCTTTTACGTAGACCCTATTTAAAGTATTTTATATTAGAAATTAATTTAATAACACAATTAAAATATTGTAATTAATAATATAAATAGACAATTCACATAGGTATTGGATAATAGGGACTTTTTGTACCTATTAATTTGGGGTTATTTTACTTTATTCATTATTTGAAGCATACCATGCCATGCCATGCCATGCTAAGGCTGAATAAGGTTCCCGTTATTAAAGTTTTTAAAATAGGTTATCAATGAAAAAAATTAAGATTTGATTTTACTTAATTGACCTTAAACTGCCACCTGCTAAGTATTTTTATGTGACTAGTTTCTTTCTTGTTTATGATAACGTAAAAAAGTTACATAAAATGTGCAAAAAGTATATAAGGGCCATAATTATTTTTAATTTAATATTAATATTTTTAAAACATGCTATATTCAAATCGAAAACTGTCAAGTTGCCGAACTGTCAGCGGCCATGTTGAACTACGCAAGGTCTTATTGGTCGAAACACAGTTAAGGCTTTGCGCATGCGCATATAATCATTTTTAGTTTTTTGAGACGTGCCCATATTATCAGCGCAACTATCTATATCTAGCAGCCTGATGCAGCTATATGAAACTGCTAGACGCTTCTCTTGGCACCTAAAATATTTGGGACTTCCCAATAAATATGATATCATATAACACATCTTGTTAGAGTTTGAAAAAGTTCAAAAAGCGTTCCATTAATAAGCACAAAACGTCATTTTTTATTTTTGTATCATAATTAAAATAATTAATTAAATAAAATAAAGAGGCTCCGCCCTTAGAAAAGGGTGTTTTCGTTGGAAACCTAAGTGACAAATGATTAATGTTTCCGATCAAATGTTACCTCTCGGATGACGTCGCCGAGTCCCTCTTTCAGCGACGATCCGATGCGCTTTCGAGGGTTCAGGTCACGATGCGAGTACAGCGTTTTCGATATCAGCTCCCATTCGAGCACGTCGCCCAGGTTACGGGGTTGGTACCTGTTGATGCTCACCGGCACTCCTGCGCGCGAGAGAAAAATAGAGATTTGTTTCTGAGGTCATGTGAAGGTATATCACTTTACCGATGTTGAAAGTTAAAGAAATAACATTTAATGTTACATTGTTACTAAGTTTACGGCTTATTATAAAACAGTTTTAAATTTTAAACTTAAAAAAGAAAGGAAAGTTATACTTAAACAGAAAACCGTGGCACATAGATTTAGGTTAAGGCGGACCGGAATTTTACTCATTATTTCGATGGCCTTTCGCCCAAAATAGATTACAAATCCTGTATATACAGGGTCGTTCACAAAATATATGCCAAAAGAGAGTTAAAAATAAATGTTTAAAAAGATACGTTTTATTAATTTTTCCGCTTGAAACCGAGGCATGATATGAATACAACTCAAGACTGAAAAAGTTGTACCTTGCATGCAAAGTAAATAAAGAAAAATGTAAATGCAAATGTAATTTTCATTTAGATAAAGCAAAATTACATATATGAATGTTTTTTCTTTTTTTTAGAAGGAGTATCTAGGCGAGCGTTGGCGTATATTTTTTGAAACACCCTCTATAAGCAAAATGGGTATAATATCACCAAAAATATAGTGCATTTGTTGCTTTGACGATTTAAGTATCTTACAGTACCTTAGCCCGAGAATTTGACAGGTCTGTGGTAAAACCCAACCCAACAGATGTTTATTGTGCATTAAATAGATTTTCCCTGAGATGGACCGTAACGAAGATTTGTAAAAACTTGAAATTTTTATTTGAAACCTAAATGGACCGTTTAAAATTTGATTAGGCATTGTGCTGCGGGGTGGTATTTTCGTATGACTGACACAGAACAGAACAGAATAAATTGTTACTTTGTACTAATTTTTTTATGTACATGTGTGAAGAATTGCTCGGCGAAAAAGACTGAAAAAATAGTTATAACCCGCTTGTTAGTGTAGGTAGATAAATTCCTAGGACGATCCTAGAATGGTTACGGGTGAGGAGCTGCGGTTTTATAGTAATAAACAGTAGACAAAGTTAATTCCGGGGTCCGTTGTAAAAGCACTATATTTCTGGTTGAAGTATATAGATTTTACTGACCCAATAAGCCGCTGTCTCCCAGATAGTCAGGCTGGCCCTTTTTCCGTGGAAACAGTTCCAATCCGGGAGCCAATTGGGCGTGCTCCAATCGGTCCATTCTGTAGCCCAATTCGGCCATCGATTGGACGATGTCCCGGTGCAAAAGTAGGCTGCTCTGCAACGCGTCTTGCACCTTGAGACCCTGAAAACGGTTTCGCGTATCGTTAATATAGTCCGTCAACCGCGAGAAGCAGAGGGGCGCCCGAGTCGCCTTTTTATTCGAAATAATTAATTCGTCTCCTTTCTCGGCGAACTTATTATCGTTATATGGATCTGTTTATTCAAGCGATCGGCTGCTATTTTTAAACAGTTTTACACGTGCAAGAGGGGAGCCTATATTGAATATCGCCTGGTGCGTGCGCGACCTACCGCATTACAATTACTTTGTACACATTTTTTTAAATTTTAAATATAATTTTATTCATTTCTGTACTGCGTCTGTGCCCTAAATATCGCTTTCTTTCGACCTTGCTGTTTTTTACTTCGAAATTTTTATTTTTCTACAGGATACCATTTTTTCCTAACAAACATTGTAATTTGCATTCGTTTCGATTTTAGCAACAACCAAGCTGGCCATGAAATTGGCTGTCAAATATGAGAACTAAATGAGAGCAGCGCACATATTAATTATCTACAACTAAAGGCATTAAAATGTTTTGCTAATGCGTAATATTCAGTTATAATACGACCAAAAATATAGTGCATTTATTGTTTTGACAAGTATTTTACGAACCTAACTTAGAAGACGAACTACCTCAGGATATAAAAAAACGGATGCTAAACAAACTGTTTTGAATGTTTTACAATTTTATAAGAAATTTAGAAGTGGAAGTAGCAGCAGCAATAAAAACAAGTGACATGATCAAAGTTTCGAAGTCAACTGTAAGAAAAATTGTTGCAAATGGGATAGCCAAGAGGAAGGTGAGAGAAGATGCTTGTACTTCGCCAGTTTTCAAACAACAAGACGCAGATCAAATTATTCGTATAATCTACGACGCTTATGAAGTAAATAATGTTTTAACCCTAGAATTGACGAATTTTTAAGTGACTGATAATTTATTACTATTATATTTAGTACTTTGTATGTTAATAATGATACTTTGTAGAAATGTAATGAACTAGAACGTACTAAATTGCTACTTTGTACTATTTTTTATGTACATGTTTCAAGAATTGCTCGTCGAAAAAGCTTGAAAAAATACTTATATTCCGCTTGTTAGTGTAGGTAGATATGATGGTCCTGGAATGGTTACGGGTAAGGGTCGGCTTTGGAGTAATAAACAGTAGGCAAAGTTAATCACGGGGTCGGTTGTAAAAGCACTTTATTTGTGGTCTAAGTATACGAATAGGTAACACAACCGCCATTACCTATATTAATCGGTTTGGAGGTATCCAAATCCCCAGATTGAACAAACTTTCTTCAGATGTCTAGCATTGGTGTGAAAAGAAAAACCTTTATATTTTTGCTTCATGTAATAATTAATCGCGAAAGAATAATTTTGGAGCGGAATGGGAATTAAATACCAAATATTTTAGTATTTATTTCTTGGCATCGCGATCCCGACGCTTTCTGGGTAGATGCCTTTACTTTAGATTGGAAGGGGCTTTTCCTCATTTTTCTCTAATTCTACGAGTCTTACAAAAAGTTATTCGTGATAACGCCGAAGGTCTATTGGTCTACGCAACCTTGGTTTCCGATTTTTGCAGCTCTTCATAAACGCCTTTCAACTTACGTTCAGCTTAACATAGATTTGCTTTTACATCAGCATTACAATCACGTGAGGTGTCAGCATTCGCTTTAAATGTGTATATAGCTCCGATAACAGCACCTAAGTTGTGGTGGCGTTTTTTGTGGTCTAATGAAGCAGAGTTGTTTTGTTACCTCTATTCCGCTTATTATAGAGTTCCTCCAAGAAGAATTTGAGAGGTTGCTGACGATACCCTTAACTCTCATAGATCTGCAGCTTTGATTCTTGGACCATAAATAGAGAAAGACAATAGAATAAGGCGATTTTTAAGTGCAATTAAGTAGACCAAGGTATACAAATACATGGGAATCGGCCCTACCTTAGAACCTTGAATACCAAAACAATTTCCTTAAAGCTTATTTCCTGTAAATTGGATATGCTTTAAGCGGTCGCTTCTGTACAGTTTCAAAAAACAAAACCACTTCGTTCTGCCGTTTCTTGTAATAAATTACTGCTGTACTTCAACAGACCTCATCATAACGCATCATCTCAATCGATTTCACGATGGATTGCGGAATAAGACAAGTTGCGGGAATTGACATAGAGCAATTTGGTTCTCACTCAAAGCGACACGTGTCCACTTCTCTAGTGGATATAAAAAGTATATTTACAGTTGGTCTAAAAATTCTCAGCCCATCGCAGTTTTTTATAAAAAGCTCGTCCAGAGTATATATAGTTGCACGGAAGCCATTGTGAGCTCTTAAGGTTCATATAAATATGTTTCTAATGGTTTGATTTGAATTAATTTAATATTTTTACACAGGTTTTAGTAGGATACCTAAAGTGTTATTTTGGTAATTGCGTCAAATGGTTATCAATAAAGGTATAGCCAAATTCCAATTCGACACACAAAAAAAGCAGACGATCGAACTTCATTACAGACAAGTTTGTTTGATCTAGTATTACACCGGCGTTTATTTTATTATATTTATTTTTGACTATTCAAATTTGATACCATATACAGTCCATGTGTTTTGTATTTTGTGTATCCATAGTAAATAATAAATGTTACTATTATTATTAATTTCGTGCTAAACTCGAGAAAAAAATAAATTAAAAAAAATCTGTTCTCTGTTACGATTTTTTTAAAGCCTGATAATTTTTAAGTTGTTCCAGCTTTAAATCTTCCTCGGTCTTAATACTTGGCGGTTTTCGTTAGCCCACAAAATATAGTTTTTCCTTCGAAAATCGTAAAGTATGGTAAAATATCTTTTTGAACATTGACAGGAGGTTAAAGTTTCGTCCCTAGATGGAGTTGAAACTCGAATCGAAAGTTGCATAGCAATTTTTTTAAAAATTAGAAAATTCCTTTACTCGATCGGAACATTCAGTATAGGCAAAAATCTGCAGCGTTTGGAGGTTACTAACAATAAATAATGCCGTAACTGACAAAACATCAAAGAAACCTATATGGTTTTCGTTTAGTTACTACTACAGGGTAAGTGCCGTTAGGCTCCGTTTTCAAGTAAAATCAGATTAAAAATAAAGCTGCGTTTATATTGAAACAACACTTATTTTTCCGACGAATTTTTGGATTCCTCGTATTTAAATCGTCATAAATAAAGAAAGCGGGTTTTTCCAGTCGACACGCGTCGAAAAAGATTTAGACTACGTTTTAGGACTTTCCCAAATAATCGATCATTCTCACGTTCAGCTATAAATATTTCAATCGTTTCTTGCAATTTATATACCACTGCTCTTGTAGTATTATCAATTCTGCAACAGCGATAGTGACGTTTTGGTTACTATAACCTATAATTTTGTATTTTCAGGTTCGCGGCCTGATATCGATAGATTGTCGATACCCGCGCTCCTGTATACGGGGCTTACATTTTGCAGTTTCCTATTTTTAAAACGGGACCTTGAAATTTCAGCGGAAAAATTAATTTAAGAAAAAAAACTACCGTTGTGGAAGGGGGGGTAGCGTGTAAACATAAACCGACGTACTCGGGATTAATATAGATATACCGAGCGATTTGCAGGTCGACAACTTTTACACGTACGTTAATATAGTTGTGGAGCCGGACCATTTGACGGGGATGCTTGACGGGGTGAAGGGTAATCGCTCGGTGCACCTCTTTTTGTTTCAAATCGCCGGTGAACGCCGCCTCACCGCTCTGGTTGTGGTAGAATATCACTTGCATCTAGAATTTAAAAAAAAAACATAGCCATTTTATAAATATAAATAAAAAATATATATAAAAAATAAATATTTTAAAAAAATAATAAATCGCATTTGCAAAGGTCTACCAAAAAATTCATTTCTCGAAAACCGTTTATCAAACCAAAAAAATCTTGAACGAAAAGGCGCACAAGATTTGGCTCTGTATATAAAACTTATGTATTTCAGGTTTTCATGTAAGAAATTTAAGTGTCCAATTTCGCAAAAATATCGACTTATTTTTTTTTAATTTTAATTTTTTTTTTTCTTATTTTGGCTTCCAAACTAACAAACTAACCATTTACCAAATCGCCAAAATTCTTTAACCATCAGACTCAGAATATCCATTGGTAAAACATTTATTTCTGGCATTTTTTCGATTATATACAGGGTTTTCTATTTATAGACAACAATGTAAAAGACATAATTGTTCTTTTCAGGAGTAAATTATTAAACGCAAATAAAAAATAATAAAAAATATGGCTAATCGGTTCAAACAGTGTCATAGACCGCATCAAAGGCTACAAACACACGCTGTTCGAGATATTTGAAAAAATCCATATGAAAATCAGTATTCCTCGGGGTCAGTCAAGTCCATTGTTTATTAAGGCGCACTGCATGGTTTCAGAAAATACTTATTTTCTCGGAAACCATTTACTCCATCCAGGGCTATAACCTCTATAGCCAAATTTTTTCAATTATATACGGGGTGTGTCGATTATGGGCAATAAATCACAAAGTCTCTAAAAATTGCTGTTTTCGTGGGTAAATTATTAGCCGCAAATGAGAAATTATAAGACATTTGGTTTAAGCAGTATCGTAAATTGTGTCGAGAGAGAGTTTCAAATTTCGTCTATCATACAGGGTGCGCGAGATACGTATGGAAATGGCTATCATTTGTACAAATTCTTATATTTGCCGTGAATTTGAAGTTTGGCGATACGTTAAAGACGCTTTATACTGGGTGTATGCACAATATGGTTACATCGATTTTGCGAAAGTTCCATTGTGGTCCGCAGAAGCACGATAGAAAAACAATACTTCCCTTTTTTGATAAGAAACCGCAAAGCGACTGCTTTTTGAAATACAAAGATGCTTCGAATTTGCCCCGCCCAGCGACGAGTTTTCGAAAGCAATCTTGTTGTTTAAGCTGTGCCAAATGCCGATTTTTAATTAAAAAAAAAATTTCAAAATAGTATGGCTCAAATTTTGATATGATGTTATGTGTATATCTGAAAACCCAAAATCAATTTGCGAAACATTATTTAAATTGTTGAACCTTCAGCCAGACCGATCTAACAGTGAAAAGTGAATGGGCATGTTGGAAAAGTACAGCAGCTGTTTTTAGTCAAGATGGCGTCAGTTTAGTCATATTGGTGTACTAGTTGCTGTTATTTTTAATGTCTTTAACGAAATTGTGCTACAATGACTGATGATAAATTAAAATGTGTTCCTTGCAAATTAAAAAAACCTAAAGAAGTTTTAAAAATACGTGGAAATTTTAAACTTAAATATGATAGTGTAGAGCTACGTGGGCCCCGAACTATGGATGACGCAGTATTTAATACATATACGTATCTAACACAAAATTGCCTATATGTAATATGTAATAAAATGTAACGTAACATAACTATAAAAAACATTACTCTTTGCGCATTTTTAAGATTATAACATTTAGTTTTACGTTCGTCTGGCCATAAGAAAAATATGGCGCTCCTGGCAGAATTACAGGCGTACTTGTTAAATTTTATTTGCCTATGGATTTTCCGAAATGAATATAATTTTTGTACATTATATTTGGCACATTTTTAGGACACCGTGTACGACTTAACGCCATTATAACGCATAAACGATTTGCACTCGTGCATTGCCTTCTCATTGTGTTTACGGCTCACTTGCGGAAACAGGTATTAAAGGATTTTCTAAAAAGATAATAATTTTAACGTTATATTTTGCACTGGGACGCGGTACGATGTGTCGCCATTCAAACCAATAAAAGTTTTGCACGTATGAATTGTTTAACCCAAAAAAAAAATCGTTTTGTGTTGTGGTTTTTAGGTCAACCTGTATGGTCATTAAATTATAAACGTAAAGTTTTACGTTTTTTCGTACAATTGTCTTACTCAAGAAAAGAAAATGGTGTTTATAATCACTTGCAGACGTAGCGATAAAATTTTGTTTACCTAGAGATTTTCTAGAAAGATAATAATAGATTTTATTTTCGAAAACCTCCCAGAATGACACAACATTTTTGGGTTGTATTCAAATTTACAATAAAATAAATATCTATATGTTTGGTTTAACCATATAAGATATAATACTACGGTAAAAAGGGGCTATGATATTTTCGTAGAGAAGGTGCGGATCTTTTGCGCATTCGTCACCCCCAACTAACTGAGTTGTCACATTGGCGTAAATTTTCTGAAAAAATTGACTAATTTTCAACTAACCAAAATCAGTCTCTGGAATCCGAATATAATTGGCAACGCCGAGCTAAGAATTGCAATAGCCAGAGAATAACGGTCTGCAGTATTATTATTTACGTTTTTTGAGGTTATGATTCTCTCCGTACTTTTTTCGTGTTTTTGTGAAAAACTTGTGTTTGTGGTCAAAACTCTTAGGAAAAGAATGTGCCTATATATGGGTAAGTGTTGCTTTATGTACAAGTTAATTTAAAAGATTTAAAAGTGGTTTCTATAGGACTCCCACTCACAATATTGTATAATTTGTGCTTTCAATACTTGCCCCTTTACGAAATTACAAGTGTGGAAAATAGGATCTTAAACAAACCCGAGTGATTTAACAAACTGGAAGGTACACTTAAATAGCTACATAGAAAAGATGTTTGGGTAATATGTTGTAGTGTTCAAGAATTACAGGAAATATAAGAAAACAATTAAGCTGCAAGTTTTACTAGAACAATCACAAGAAATACTCCTTGATAATTCCAAATCCTTGTAAACTTCAATGTGGGAAAGTTTTCGTTTGTCATCACGCTTATGGAAAACGTAATTGGAGAAGTGGGGAATTGCCAGAATCAGTTCAGCTGCAACAAGAAGAATTTAAACATGATATATCTTTGTAGGTCACCTACCTCCTTAGGGAGGTACACATATAATTTAACACTGATTAAAAATAAACAGTTCTATCAATAAATAATGATTTTGTAAATCTGCTTTTTGGATTCGGGACAATTTGAGTAGGAAAAATATTATATGCACAACTTGGGAAGAATAAGGGATTAGTCTCCGACTATTTTGTTTGGCTCGTGAATACCCTACCTCCCGGTCAATAACTATTTAGTAGAACAAGTTTTTGGACAAGTTATGGGACTGATCCATGTTCTCTATCCCATTTTTTTTTGTAGACTCGCAGATTTGTCTGTTTCCTATGATTGATATAATAATCCATTTATCCAGGTACTGTCATTCAATTTACATTTTATTTTTTAGTTTAGCAAGCTTTTGGGCTTTATTTCCAACAAGTCAAAATAATAATTTCTTTCCAGTAACATATTGTCAACAAGTACTTCTGATTTAAATTTTGTTTCGAATTTACAGTTAATGAGATTTGTTCTGCAGTTATTGTACGAATAATTAACAATATTTTAACGTATTATAAATGAACATTTTTTTTATTGCTTTCATCTTCTTTTTTGCAATTTTTTTATGTGGTGATCCTCTCAAATCAAGTAATATTAAAGTTCCTTGAAAAAAGTAAAAGTGAAGCATCTTATGTCGGATGCCATTGCGCAAATAAAAAATAAATATTATTTTGCTATTTAAAAAAAATACTATTTTTATACATTACTGTAACAATGTATTTTATTCTTTTCAATAAGGGTCTTATTAAATAATTCGTGTGTTTATTTGTACTAACCAAAGGAGTTAATAAAACACTATATAAAATGATATTACAATTAAAGGTAAGTCCTAGTTGTGGCATAAACCACAATCTTGTCTACAAAAAGCCAGCCTGGAGTGTGCATCTGGAAAAAATGTTTCTTAATAGGACATCTTCCTTTTCGAATGTTTCATGCCAGCTTACACTTTTAAAAAATCCCGAGCATTTCTTGAAAAGTAATTTTTGGTTTTTACATTTGAATCGAAATTGCAATAAAATATAGCTAAATTATTGTGTGAATGCAATGCAATTTCTACATGTCTTTTTAGCTTTTAAATATATTTAAAAATATTTTTAACAGGGAATTTTTGGCTAGCAAAATATATATTTTTTTAATTTTGAGACAATAAGCGACACTTTTTAGGGTTTGGTAATGTTAATTCTGTTACATTTAAGGCTAATTGGTTCTTTGTTACATTTTCTTAACGAAATTGTCATAATTATATATTTGGGAGGCGAAACATTCTGCAATTAGTAGACTTGTGATGAAAGAATATACGAGGTGTTTGTTGAACACTTTTTTCACTTAGATGTTTCCAGTGCGATATCTAGTACCTCAAAGCTATATTTACACTTTTACAGTCACATTTCGTGAATTCGACTTTATTTACATTTTCAATAGAGATTAAACCAAATAATTCTATAAAAACAAACTGTTGCGCCGATTTACAGACCCAAATTCGGGAAAAATTAGGTGGTATGGTCTGTTCATAGATATAAGAAAGTAACCAATTGTTTTTGAATGGGATTATCCAAGGGTGGTCATTAACACACAATGAGACAAGATTATTACCTAAAGTTTCAGAATTTAAATTCAGGTAAAATTGTGGTTTGTAATAGACAATAATTTTATACCTACCTTTGTTTAATATTCTTTGGTTTGGTATACTACTTAGTTTAAGTTTATTAGTAATCATTCTTATTTCGTGTGTAATACAGCGTGTGTTGAATCGTGTTCGAATTATGCAAAATATGTGCGAGTCTAGTGTATCTCAGGAGATGATCCCGCCCAAATGTAGAAAACACTATTCTATTGACACTAAGGAAGTTATAAACAATGTTTATTTGACTCTCATTGAT